TCTTATTATTTTAGCAGGCAAATTAGAAGTCAAAGAGCCAAAATTGCAGGATCTTTTTTTTTTTTTTTTTTAATAGGAGAGAATTTTTTGATAACTAATGTATGCTTTATTTTTCCTTTAGGCTTGTCTTTTTTTTTAATGTATAGTAATGATAATTCAGAGGTAAATTCCTTTTTTTTTTTTTTTTTTTTTTTTTTTTTTTTTTAGACTTCAACCCAACAACAAATCTATTGACCAAAACAACATATGAAGCATGCACTTTAAATCATACGACTTTTATTTTGATTAACTTCAGTCTGTTCCCAAAGCCCTGGTCTCTTACATGCTTCAGTTCGTATGAGCACAGGGTGGGAAGTGCCATTGATTTCTGGTGCAAGCGTTCATGAATGAAGTTGAGCAATACGTCATAGATGTTTACAGGCGAGAGCTTTTGTTTTCACTCTCTGGGAGCAATTGCCATTTTTGTATGTCTACAGGAACACCTGAAATGTTTTTTACAGGGCAATCAGACTTGGATACATGTCTTTAAAAACCTACTGTCAAATACTTGCGGTAAAGCTCGCTCCTTATTATGATCTGAGAATTCTAGTGTAAGAAAATACTGTTTAGACTCTGCCACATGCCAATTTATCTCAAACTCATTAAAATCTAGGCCTTTATGCTGTCTTGTTTTTCTCAATATATTGTATTAAACAATAGTAGGAGATGCATCTGAGGGAGGTAGATGGAACACATAGCTAACAATTATTGACAATAACCCTCAACATTTCTGCACATAAGACTGTGCAGCATCATTAGCACGTAGCCTGCTGTATCTAAATGCTTTTGGATTGCTGCTTAGACAAATCTTTAAGGAAAACATTATGAATTATAATTCATGGCCCCCATTCATTGTACATGCTAATGTTAGGCCTTCAGGTGGCCCATCAGGTTGTTTCCTGCAGTGATCTAGACTTTTGTACCTCCTTGGAACTCTCTTTACACCTGTGTGAGTCCATGACTCTGCCTGAGAAGTCTTTAAAGAAGATTCAAATCCTAATTTCAAACTTCAGCATGTACAAATAAATTGGTCAGTAGTGCATGGCCCTGCCAAGAATAGCAGTAAGTTTTGCGGCAAGAATTTGCACTGTCCCTCTATAGAGATCAATGAGGAATACATGCTAAGAAAAGGTCATCAGTAGCACGTATGTTCATAGGTTTCTAAGTACTCCTCTTTCTGGATACCTGCTTATTTAGAGTTTAAGTCTGAAGAGCATGCAAAAGCCTTCACGTCCTTACTAATCTGTTAGACTCCTGGGTGATACGCGTAAACGACAAGAGTAAGTGGAAAAGTTATTACAGCATTGGCTTCCCAACTTTTTCACACTGCATACTTTGAAATTTTATTCACAAACAGACAATAGCATTTATAGCTGTAAATGCACTATAAATAAAACCTTTTTTTTTTTTTCTTGCTTTGTTTTTAAAGGTGTGAGGGATGGCACAGCATAACCCTAAGGAGACAGACTGTGAAATTACACCTTACAGCACTTTGCCAACAAAAAACAAAAGAAAAATATACTTTCTAAGAGTTTTTAGGCCCATAGTATTCAACCTTTCAGGGCAACCAGTGAAGCACTAGGTGGATAGTCAGTAAAGTCGTGGCTGCATGTTTCCTCATTAAAAAGTATAGCAAGCCTGGTTTAAAAAAGGTGACCTATGTTGCTGGTTTATGGCCAAATACACTTTTCAAATAGCTTGGTAACAGTGGTAGTTTCAAATTGACCCTTACTGGAACCATCAAATAAGCTGAAAAGGGTCATGTATGTTTGGTGTTATCCATCATAACTATCATAAATAATAAAAATATGAATGATATATGATATATCACATATGTGTTTATACACACATTGGAAAAGTTTTTTAATAAAGTCTTGTATCATAAGCAGCAGCATTTCATTATATAATATTATACTTTTTTTTTCTCTTTTAAAATATCTTCCATTGAAGGTGGTAATACAGCTCTAGTAAATCAAATCAAATTACTGACATCTCTATTCTGTAAGGCCATTGCATCTCCTTTCTGCGAACTGCCCTCCATATGTCTTAAAAATATTTTACCTTTAAAATGCAAGTTGAGAAATCAAGGATAATGAGGTAGCTTTTGAGCACTAGTATTGGAGAACTTCCCTTTAATGGATTTCTAATTATAAAAGAGACAATTGTTACCTGAGAGACTGCGCAAAATTCTGGCCAAACACTTTTGGTACTTAAGTACTATTTTTCAATATGAATCTTTCATTTCTGCATTAGCTATTTTCTCTTTAAAATAAACTGGCCTTGATTTTATTGCCCCAATAGAAAAAAAATCTGGTAAGTAAATAGCAGCACATTAATTGTTGCCCATGAGAGCATTAAAACCAGAACAATAGTCACTTCCATTCCTGTCTAGGGAACCTTGAAAAACAGCAGTCATACTGGATTAAATATTTTCAATTTTCTAATTCAGTCACGAAAACAGAATATTATCAAGAAAAAAAAAAGGCAGTCTCTGTTGACTCTTGGTAGCTTTATGAAAATCTATACTGAAATAGTTTTATTTTACTTTATCTGATACTAGAATAGCAATGTAAGACTGTGGTATAATCAAAATTAGAATTATGCATTATTTGAAAAGATTAACTTTTGCAGAATGTTAGATCATAATATGTAACAGCAAAAAACACATAAGTAGGTTCTTAGTTATGGTATATCATTATGATACTAGGGCAATCCCAGATGCAAGTGGGGACAAAATGTAGTCGTTTATGCTTATAAAATATTAATGCATTATTGGGAAATTTGTTTAATAAAGAAAAATTACAAGATGGCAGTATTTTTACAGTATTTACAGAATATGCTGTGTCAGTGTTTTATGCTTATGTTTCTATTTGTTCTTCTCCATATGCTGACTTTGTTATAATAATCATGTTTCTACATTCAGCACCCTTACAACCAGTGCATCAGCAGGTATCCAGGATACAGAGAATGAGAGAGGAACCAAGAAAGTTGTTTGTTGTTGATGTCAGCAGCCATCTGTTAGAACAAAAACCTTCCACTTGGTAGAATTTTCTACCAACATGAAATAGTTGTATTGTTGAACCTGTTTAGTGTTATATAATAAAGAACACTTGGCAAATTGAACTGCCTGCTAACACTAAAATATAACTTAGCAGAAGAGATAATACAGTATAGCTGTAATTGATAGATAATTGACATGTACATAACTGAAATTACATGCTTATACAAAGGAAATGATACAATTTCAAAGCAAAGGAAGCTTCAAGCTACATCTAAATCTTCAGGTATTTGACAAATGTGAACATTTTTTAGTCAATCTCTGTGCTTGGCATTTGATACATAGTTCTCTGAAGAACAGTTTTTTTAATAGGTAATCCAAATAAATCAGAATAAAATCAAAGAAAGATATTTTAAATATCATTTATTATTATTTCTGTAAGAGCATTCACAGTCAGAATAGTCTTTAAAAAAAAAAGATGGGATTGTTTGGGGGTGCTTAAAACAATTTAGTGCAGGTAGGTAGGAAATGATCTCAGAAAGCAAGTTATCCTGCATTTGCCAGTTGTGAGGTTCCTGGCACCCTTCTTTGGATCCTCTGGCTTTAGGGACCTTATGCTGACCTGAACTGGCAGTGCCTTTTAAGAAGGGAAAAAAAGAACTGCCCACAGTGGTAGTCAGATAATGCGCTTTCTTGGCACTGATGCAGCTTTGCCTGAAGTCCATTACTTGGGTATCTGTGACATCAGATACCATGTTGCTCTTCTACACGTTGCTGTAGCAGGACCACAGAAGCACCTATGATAGCAATGTAAATAATGAAATGTAGCTAGAAGAAGAATGGAATATATTATTCTGTTTATCATTGCCTTGTCTATCTTGTGTACAGCAGCACAAATGAAAGACAACTTTAGATTTAAGAGCAGCAGTGCTAATGCTTCATGCTTCTGATCTTTTTGTCACAACACACTGTAGTGTGTAAATAGAAAAATAGTATCACTTATTGTATTTTTGTGTCTTGCCAGCCTTCCAAATTTTTGATGACTGTCAAATAGCTTGAATATCTTGTTCTTTAAATCTGAGCTCAACTGTTTCTCAAGAAAGGCACTTACTCCCCTGGGAGTTTTTCATAGGGTAAGATAGCAGTAAAGATAGTATGCTCCTTTCCTGTAATATTCGCTTCAGAAGTTATAGCTAGAATAAAAGAGAACTTGTGTATACAACCAATGTTTTGTGAAGCCAATATACCTTGATTATGATATTGATACAGCAAGAAATGGTAATATCATGAGTTGATATAAAGTAAGGTTGTGGTCTTAATATTTTATACTTCTATTCAAGTATATTCAAAAAAAAGAAAACCTTTGAAATAATTCTACATGATAATTGTCTTCAGATTGGCCTGTAGATCAAGCATCTTAGTGGTAGAGAAGTCTACAGTCATCTTACCCCCACACAGCAGAATGTTTGCTGCTCCTTCAACTCTTGCACACACACACAGCAGGATCTGTGGGTGTCTGGAGGCAGCAGTCATCAGTAATTCACTCTCTACCTTTCCTGCAATGCCTTGTCCTTCTCCATCAGAGCACATGTAACACCGTTTTGCTTTTGCTTATCCTTTCCCTGTCTGACCACCTTTAAAAAGTTTTGGAGTCCCTCTTTAGAAATTTCTTCCATGGATATAGCCATTTAAAACTCACTTTTGATAGTCACTGTATTTTAGTTGCCAAAAGGCATTGTTGCAGCTTCAAGGCAAAAGCTTTTTGCAGTGGACAAATATGTTACAAGCAAAACGGGTAACAAAATATTTCATACACTGTGTCACATGCTGTTTTTTTTCCACATTTCTGCTTGTCAGAAGAAGAGTTGATAATGTAATGTTGCCAGTAATATGCTGTGTGTAGCTTAGCAGGTCTTCTACAGCCCACAAAATTAAAATTCTCCTTATTACTTTAAAAGGTACCTACCAGGGGCAGTGGACAGGAGGGATGCGACATGGATACGGTGTTCGTCAGAGTGTACCCTATGGCATGGCGACTGTGATCCGTTCCCCGCTCCGCACGTCTCTAGCCTCGCTTCGGAGCGAGCAGAGCAATGGCACCGTCCTGCACGACATCACTGCAGACAGCCCCGCTGGAACAAGAGGAGGTTTTGTGCTGAATTTTCACAGTGATGCAGAAGCCATGGGCATTAAGAAAAAAGGAGGCTTGTTCAGAAGAGGATCCCTTCTTGGTAGTATAAAACTTAGAAAATCTGAATCTAGATCATCAATATCTAGCAAACGGAGCTCTGTCAGGAGTGATGCTGCTATGAGCAGGATTAGTTCTAGTGATGCCAACTCTACAATTAGCTTTGGAGATGGTGACTGTGATTACTGCCCTGTGGAAGACCATGTTGATGCCACCACCACAGAAGCCTATATGGGTGAATGGAAGAATGACAAGCGCAGTGGTTTTGGTATTAGTGAGCGTTCAAATGGTATGAAATATGAAGGAGAATGGCTGAATAACAGGAGGCATGGATATGGATGTACCATGTTTCCGGATGGCACCAAAGAAGAGGGAAAATATAAAAATAATGTTTTGGTCCGTGGAATAAGAAAGCAACTTATACCAATACGAAACACAAAAACTAGAGAAAAGGTGGACAGAGCAATAGAGGGAGCACAGCGAGCAGCTGCCATGGCAAGAACCAAAGTGGAAATTGCAACTTCAAGGTACGTAATTGGCAAATACATTCTGAATTTTCAGAAACAAAAACATATGTGGGCTCTTACTGTTGACAATGACTCAAAAATGCAAGAGCGTAAATGCTGTCTTCAGTGAGTACTTGCTCCCTTTTCAATTTCCCACATGTGTCTTACTGACTTCACTGAAATCAAACATTCACAACTTGAAATTACTGAGCCCTTGATTTAAGTGAACAGATTTATGTGTTTCATAATATACTGTGAAGGTAAATTTCTCCAGCCCAGGTGTTTGCCTAAGCTCAAGAACTGCTGCATTACTCCTTTAAACTATTTGGAAATTAAAACTGCCGAAGAAATCTGTAGAATTGCTGGGGGGACATGAAGTTGAAATAACTTTCCTAAACAATCTCTAGCTTTGCTTATTTGTTGATGATTATTTGGGTAGCACCTGAGACTCTTCAATACTGCCCGTTTGACACTGAGCACTTAGAGATGTACCTGTTTATCTGAGAGTGGTGGTATAAGAAAATTGGTTTGAGGCTTTGAGAATCTTGCCTGATTTGCCAAAGACGGTGCCTGCAGAAAGTGTCTCTCTGAGGGGTCTTGTGGCTTGGACCATGCTTCATCTTTGGCTTTATCTGAATTTGTTTGGGTCCCAGACAAATTTGTATGGGAATCCATTGTAGAGAGCAGCAGTCATTTCCTCCCTAACCCACTACCAAGTGTTTGAGATGGAAGGGAGAAGTACTAGGGTATAAATAGTGGAGAGAGAAAGGTTATTTCCACTTTTAACTCCTGACCAGCAACCACAGTTGTCTGAGGTGGAATTCTTAGAAATCAAATCAATGTATACAATTTAACAGGTTTCACTATAAAGTCTGGAGCTACTTTTAAAACTTTTTTTTTTTTTTAATGTCTTCAAATAAGTTTTTGTGGCAGTTCCTCTGTTCCTTTTGGTTTCTTCAGGCAGACTTTTCTTGAAATATGTTGTAGACCAAAAAAATGCCCAGAAACATGCGCAAAAGAAAATGCTTATGCCTGTCTGTGCACTTGCACTTGACACAGAAGAGCTGACACCTTGCACAGTGTAGTCACTAGTGTGTGTTCCATGCTTATGATAGCCATCATGCTGCAAAGACTGAGAACTGAATGCATGGGAATGCCAGAACAACTCCTAGCAAAAATAGTTGAAGAGCAAATGTGAAGAGTTTGATGTTGAAGAGCTCTTGTGAGCCCTGATCACCCAGATAGTTAGAGGGTGACTTATTCCTGATTATTTCTATAAATAACTGAAGTATTATTTGATAGTATAACAAATCAGCAAAGCAAACAGTAACAGCTAACTTTTAAGTTCCTCTATCCCATTTGAGCTTTGTACTGACAAAGTGAGCCCTGGTTCTGTTTGGCGAGGGTGATGGGATGTCTGCATTGGGAGAGTTGTCACTTTAAGTAACTTTAAAGCTAATAAAAACTACAGTTGAAGACCCTTAAGTTACAAGGCTCAGTGTATTCAACTCTGAGGTTATTTGCTTGCTGTTCCTTCTCGTCTTAAATCTTGGGTGAAGGGCAAAGTTCAAATTATTCCCGTTTGGAGATCCGTGAGAGTGTTTATTCCTGGAAAAGATGTTTTTGAAATTGAAACACAAAGTATCTGTGGTTAGTGCACCTGTACCCATGGGTCATTCCTCTGTATTTTCAGCTGGGAATCTTTCAAAAAGAGTGCCATGACTGCCAGTATCAAATTTCCAGCCTTTTAGTAGCCTTTGCATTAATTATGCTGTCACTGAGTTAAAGGCTGAGACCTTAGAGCTAATCAGGCAGCCTCAGGCATCCAGACTACACCCAATTCACTGGTGAGCGCCTGGTGTCTCCTAGCAGGGCTGACATGGCGCTTGCAGCGCTCATGATACATTTCTCCTTGAATGCACCTTTGTTTCCAAGGCTTCTTGTCAACAGCAGGAAGTTTCTTACAGTAATTAAGAACATCCCAGAACAATTTCAGAGCTGATTGTCCTGTCCTCTTCTAGTAGACATAGAGATCACCATTGATTTCAGATTCCCATGTACACATAAATCAGTTTTTTGTTGCTGTTTTTAATTTGGTCTGTCCATTTTGGAATGTGTTTTGTGAGGTTTTGTTTGTTTGTTTTTTGCAAAGACATTGGCGACTGTCTGTGATCTTCTATAGACCATCTTAACAGCTAGATCGTCTAGGGAGACTCTCTGTGGAATTAAGGGGGGAAAAAACCCTTCTACCACTTCCCAAATTCTAGGCTGACTGGATTGGTGCTATTTCAGGATGAAAGAATTTGCATCTGTCATGCTGTGACTTGAGTTCTGTGTCAGTTGGTGAGTACTAGTTACCAGACTCAGACGTTTTACAAAGTAGCTTTAATTTTTAGTGGAATTAACTAATTGGTAGTGTAGAATAGTGTCTGTGGGACTTAATCCTGCACACAACTACTGAAAAATTTCACTATGCTGGTACTAATGACAGGAATAGTGCATTCATACTCTCTTAGGACCTTTGGACCGACTTGAACTGCACCCTCTGTGTTGACTGAGTTAAGGAACCAAATTTTTTAATCCTTTAGAGAGTAGAGTTCTTGCCATGCCCTAGATGATGTGGGCATGGTGGTTTTATCTATTTGTTTATAACCACTACCACAGGAAAAAGATCCAGCCTGAGTGCCTCTTCTTCATTTCTCTGGTATATAATAAAGGTACGAAGATGGTTCTACTTCTGGCATAACTTGTAAAACCACCTTCTCTTCAGACCTGACAGATATCAGAAGCAACCCAGGCTTGCTGTAGATTTGTATTGTATGAGTGGAAAGCCTCTGTAGATAGACTTCTTTTTTTAACAAAGGAAACGGTCACACGTCCATGTTTCTGTTGCAAAGAGCTGGAAACCCTAGCTTACAGTCAGATATCCTCCTTCTCCATGCGATATGATTTGTATGCTGTTCCTCCTGTCCTGTTTGTTCCCAAAATATAAGCTGAGCCAAGTGGAAGCAGCCCATACTCCTCTTTGTAGCTCCCTGCTGGTTATGACAGGTTTGGCTGATGGTTTGACCTGCGACAGATGTCCACACAGTCATCAACAAAACCAACCACTGTTTTGCTTTCTATTCTTGGTAACCCTTTATTCATTTATATCTATTAGGGGAAAGATGTCTCAAAAATCCTCCTTAATAATCTACGTAGTCTTCACCTGTGTATGTGACAGTACAAAGGAAAATAGATCGGTTGGGCTAAGCGTAGCTTCTCTGTGCCCGAATTTGCATTGGCTGCCTGGACTCAGCCTTTGGGCTTCTGAGGAATTCGTAGTGAGGTGTTTTAGACATGACTTTAGCATTGTAGTTAGAGGAAACTTTACAAATTGTATGATATGTAGAAAGCAGCACACCATGAAAACAGTTACTGGTCTTTGCCAGACAGATCTATATCCAACACGGGTTATATGTTATCAAAGAATAAGAATGTTTTTAAAATAGTAGCACAGCTTAAAGTCTTGCATGTTGTACTTTTATTAACTGTTTTTCTGACAAAATATGAAAGCATAAATATAAAAAGATCTCATGAGTTTAAGAATTTCAAAAATATGTTGGATATTCCCTCTTTTATAATAATAAAAGTTTAGGGTTTTTTTGCCACTATAGATAGTAATTAGGTCAAATTCATCTTTAACCCTTCGGTGGTCAAAGCAGACAAGTTTATTCTACGTGCCTGTTTTGAGGCTCTGTTTCTGAAACAAAAAGCAAAATACAGGTCAAATGCTGAAATGTGTAGATTGCTTTTTAGGGGGTGCTAAAAAGATTCAAAATCCCCTGAAGCAAGAATCAAGCAGAAATTAGTGCTGGAGATACCAAATGCTTCTCTCTGTAGGGGTGTGAACTTTCTTTTCGTTGCTGTAATATGGCCTTGAAGGAAGACCTGCATCTGCAGGTCAATATCAAAGTGGTTTGGGTCTTTTTTGTGCTGTTTATTAAGCTTATTGGAATTTTGTTAGAGTACTTTCAAGTGATTTTCATACTAGGATAAATTCTCATTAGCTGTTTAGTATATTATGTTTGCCTTCTCCACTACTTATGATGGTGTAAATGGTAGCATTTTTGGAATCTCTTGGGGGGTTGTATATAAACTTATTTTCTAATAATCAGTACTTTAAATATTTTAAAAAATCTATTTTGTACTGCTTAATATTTCAGCTGTTCTAAAACTAATTGGGCTGTAAGTAAATACATAGCACTGCCGGCAGAAGTTATGAATCTTGCTTATATGTGACATTTCATATACTAGATTCTTTCTAGAAAAGTCTATTAAAAACTTGAGAAATGAGCTCTCTGAGCCAGGCCATTTTTTTTTCCCCTTCACATTTTTTTCTAATTAATACTCAAATACAAATTCTGCTTTAATTGATGACTCTCTGAAGAAAAAGGAGCTTTATAAGAACACAGAGCGACAAGCTAAAATGATAGAAAGAGTAAGAAATATGGATAGGGATAGAGCTTGGTGGAAAAGGGAGAAAGAAAACAAGGTAAATAAAATATTTACCTGGTGATTTTTTTTTATACTCCACTGGTATTTTAGGCCATAGAACAAGCAGGTTAAACAATTGTCTCTTGTATTCTGTATTCCAGAGAAGTTAAATATTCTTTTAATTATCTTAAAATTGTGGACAAGTTTGAAGTGTGCTGTCAAAAGGTGCTGTGAGACTTTCTGACCACCTTTCAAGATCCATGGTAATGCCACTTCATTACATAAGCACCCGAGGCTCATGTATTCAACCAGGAATAATGGTGCCGTTGTGTTAGGCACTGTGCAAATTAATTACCTGCTCTTGGAGACCTTGTATTCTGGGTGAATGGCAAAGCCCTACAGGTGGAAAGAAACTGGCACAAGACTGTGAGAGGACAGTAAGCTTAATTTCTTGCAACTAATAATATACAGTAGTTCCTCCTTATTAACTGACCGGCTATACGTAGCTGGCAGTGACTTGCAAGCATCTAGTCAGTAACAGCTTT